AGCGAGAGTCAGTGCGTGCGGGCCCCTGTATCCCAGCGAGAGTCAGTTTGCATGAGAAGTATACACCAGTGAGAGTTAGTTTGCGTGAGAAGCGTACCCCAGTAACAATCAATGGAATTGGTAATGTAGTTGTGTGACACCCCTTGGGAATGAGCAACCATACTATGATAGAATTCTTTAACTAGATGGAGAATGAGGTAGTTTGATTCTGAGATGAGGGTCTTGGATCTTAAGAAGGGTAACTACGATGGTATAAGGCTTGAGTTGGTTATGACGGATTGGGGAATGATATTGAAAGGAATAACATTGGATCGGCAATGGCAAACATTCAAAGAGTGAATGGATGAACTACAAAAATTATTTATTCCTGTCTGACGTAAACATACAAAGAGAACAATGGTCAAACCATGACTTACCAGGGAAGTTAGACGTGATGTTAGATGCAAAAGAGGTACACAAAATGAGCAATAAAAAGAGACCTGAGTATTGGGATCAGCAAAGTAGCACCAAGGGATTGATTAAGAGAAGACTGGTTCGGCGTGGGAAGGATGTTCCCGATAGTGCATTGGTCCAGAACCAAGGATCATAGTTTAAGGCTATGGGCTAAATCTTAGGGGACTGAAATGAAGAAAATATTCCTCACCAGAGAGTCGTGAGTCTGTCAAATTCAGTACCACTAAAAAGTGGTTGAGGCCAAAACGTTTATTCAAAAGGAACATAGGCATAGCTATTGTGGTTAAATGGATAAAGGGATTTGGGGGATGGGGGTGAAGGCAGGATTAGGGTATTGAGCATGACGATCAGCCATGATCATATTGAGTTGCAGATCAGGCCAGAGTAGTTGAATAACCTAGTCCTGCTACTGCCTTCTGTGTTGCTGTGTTTCTTTTTGTGTGAGACTCCTACCCCAGTGAGAATCAGTGTGTGTGTGGGACCCTTACCCCAGTGAGAATCAGTGTGTGTGTGGGACCCTTACCCCAGTGATAGTCAATGTATGTGGGACATTTACTCTAGTGAGAATCAGTGTGAATGGAACCCATACCCCAGTGAGAGTCAGTTTGTGCAGGACCTTTGCCTAAATGAGAGTCAGTGTGTGGGATCTGTATCGCAGTGAGAGTCAGTATGTAAGGGACCATTGCCCCAGTTACAGAACAGGACAGCACAGGAACAGGCCCTTCAGCCAAACATCTCTATGCCAACATGATGCCTTTTAAACTAATCCCATCTGCCTGCATGTCGTCTGTATCTCTCTATTCCCTGCTTGTTCATGTGTCAGTCTAAATGTTTCTGAAATGTTGCTATTGTCTCTGCTTCTACCAGCTCCCCTGGCAGCACGCTCCAGGCACCTACCACCCTCTGTTAAAAATTTGCCTCGCACATTTCCTTTAACTTCCCCCCCCTCACCTTAAACCTATGCAGCCTAGTATTTGACATTTCCACCCTGGGAAAAGGCTCCAACTATCCATTCTATCCATGCCCCTCATAATTTTATAAACTCTATCATGTCGCCCCTCAGCCTCCGATGCTGTAATAAAAACAATCCAAGTTTATCCAAACTCTCCTAATAGCTAACACTCTCCAATCCAGGCAATGTCCTGGTAAACCTGTTTTACATTCCTCTCCAAAGACCCCATAGCCTTCCTATACTGTGGTGACCAGAACTGCATGCAATACTGAAAATGTGGCCTATCTAAAGTCTTATACAACTGCAACATGACTTGCCAACGTTTATACTCAATGCTCCAAACAATGAAAGCAAGCATGCCACCTTATCTACTTGTGTTGCCATTTACAAGCCCATACGGGGCAGCACGGTAGCTCAGTGGTTAGCACTGCTGCCTCACAGCACCAGGGACCCGGCTTCAATTATGAAGTTTACACATTCTCCCCGTGTCTGCGTGAGTTTCCGCTGCGTGCTCTGATTTCCTCCCAGAGTCCAAAGATGTGTAGTTTAGGTGGATTGGCCATGCTAAATTGCCCATAGTGTCCAGGGATGTGTAGGTTAGGTGGTTTAGAAATGTAGGGTTACAGGGTAGGGGGGTGAGTTGGTGTGGACTTGTTGGGCTGAATAGCCTGTTTCCGCACCGTATGGATTCTGTGATTCTATTCTATGATCCCGTTGTACATAAACCTAAGAGTTCTGCCATTTATTTCCTCTTGCTTTCCTCTTGCATTGACCTCCCAAAATGAATCACCTCATACTTGACCGAATTAAACTCCATCTGCCATTTCTCCGTCCAACTTTCCAACTGATCTATATCCTGTTGCATACTTTGACAACCTCCCTCCCTATCCAAAACTCCACCTATTTTTATGTCATCTTTTCCAACTTACTAATCAGACCACCTACATTTTCATCCATATAGTTTTATATAAATTATAAACAGAGGTCCCAGCACGAATGCTTGTGGAATACCATGGTCACAGACCTCCAGTCAGAAAATCATCTCTCCACAACTACCCTGTCTTCTGTGACCAAGGCAATTTTGTATTCAACTTACCAACCCACCATAAATCCCACATTACTTAATCATCTGGACCAGCCTACCGTGAGAGACTTTGTCAAATGTTTTAGTAAAGGCCAATGTAGACAACATGAATTGCCCTACCCTCATCAGTCATCTTTGTTACATCCTCAAAAGACTCAGTCAAATTTGTGAGACAAGACCTCCCCACTCAAAGCCATGCTGACTATCCCTAATAAGTCCATTTCCAAGAGAGGAATATAGGAATTAGGAGAGGGAGTAGGCAGTTCAGCCCTTCAAGCCTGCTCTGCCACTTAACATGATCATGGCTGATCTTATCCTGGTCTCAACTCTACCCTCATGCCTGCTCCCTTTTGCTTTTTATTCCACATTTCATCCAAACATATCTATTTCTTTTTTGAATCTGTTGATTGGCAGTGAGCTCCATGGATTAACAACACTCCAAGAGAAGTAGTTTCTCCCCATCTCAGTTTTGAACCTACCTCCTCTCACTCTATATCTATGACCTCTTGTTTGAGACTGTCCCACAAGGGGAAACATCTATTCAACGTCCACCTTATCAATCCCCTATAGCATTTTATCTACGTCCATCAGACCCTCCCTCATTCTTCTGAACTCCAGCAAGTACAAGCCCAAACTATTCAACTGTTCCTCATACGACAGCCTTTTCATCCCTAGAATCAACCTTGTGAATCTCCTCTGAACTGACTCCAGTGCCATCACATTCTTCCTCAGGTAAGGAGACCAAAATTGGACACAATACTCCAGGTGTGCTGTCACCAATGTCTTATATAACTGTCACACTTTTATTACTGTTGTAATCCAGTCCTTTTGCAATAAGTGCCAGGATTCCATTTGCCTTTCTTATTATATGCTGCACCTGCATATCCACTTTCTGTGCTTCTTGCACAAAGACACCCAGATCCTTCTGCACTGTTGTGCTTTGAATCTGCTTCTCATTTAAATAATAATTTGCCCCTTTGTTTCTCCTACCAAAATGGACAACCTCACACTTATCCACATTAAACTCCATCTGCCAGGGTCTGTCCCATTCTCCTATCCTATCAATATTCATCTGTAAACTGTTTATCTCCTCAGCACTGCATGCTTTCCCACCTGTTTTACTATCATCTGCCAACTTTATTATGTTTACACTTTGTCCTTCCTTGCAGATCATTTATATAGATTATAAAATACATGTAAATCCTGTCACTAAGAATGTCCTCCAATAGTTGCTCTAATGCTCACTGGCCTATGATTTCCTGGATTATTCCTGTTGTCCTTCTTAAAGAAAGGAATGACATTGGCTATTCTCCAGTCTTCTGCGACCTCGCCTATTGTTAAAGAGGATAGAAAGATTTCTGACAAGGCCTGAGCAATGTTGACCCTTCCTTCCCTCAGTATTCTGGGATAGATCCTATCAGGCCCTGGGGACTCACCTGCCTGCAAGTTCTTCAAGACAGCCAACACCACCACCTTTTCAATATCGACGTGCCCTAGAATATCAACAAACCCTCCCTAATCTTCTCCTTGGTGAATACCGATGTGCAGCATTTAGGAAGGAGTATCCACTTCCTCTGTCTCTAAATATAAATTTCCTCCTTTGTCCACAAGTGTGCCTATCTTTTCTCTAGCTACCTTCTTGCTACTATACATGCGTAAAATACCTTGGGATTCTCCTTAATCTACTTGGCCAGGATAGGGGGCACCATGGCTCAGTGGTTAGCACTGCTGCCTCACAGCACTGGGGACCTGGGTTCAATCCCACCCTTAGGCAACAGTCTGTGTGGAGTTTGCATGTTCTCCCTCAGCCTGTGTGGGTTTTCTCTGCGTGTACTAGTTTCTTCCCACAGTCCAAAGATGTGCAGGTTAGGTAGTTTAGTGTGGCTAAATTGTCCAGCAATGTACAGGCTAGATGCATTAGCCATGCAGTTACAGGGAAATGGAGTGGGATGCACTTTGGAGGATTGGCATGGCCTCAATGGGCCAAATGGCCTGTTCCCACACTGTACGGATTCTACGATTTCGTGACCCTTCTTTCCTGTTTCCTTTATATTCATCAGAGACCTTGTCCGATTTCAGTTTCCTAAACCTTATATATGCTTCCTTTTTAAAAATCAACTAAACTTCCAATATCTCATGTCATCCAGGGTTTTAAGATCTTTCCATCCTTAACTTTCATCCTTACTGGAACATGCTGACCCTGAACTCTGATCGACTGGCCTTTAAAAGACTCCCACATCAGATATGCATTTACCCTCAAACAGCTGTTCTCAACCTGATTTCTCCAGTTCCTCCCTAATACTGTTGTAATTATCCTTTCCCCGGTTTAGCACTTGCACCCAAGATTCAGTCCTATCCATATCTAAAACTTAAGAAATTATGATCACTGTTCCCAAAATGCTCACCCACTGAATCTTTGATCACCTGGTCAGGCTCATTCCCCAGTATAAGGTTTAGTACAGCCCCTTGCCCTCATTGGACTGTCTATATATTGTTTCAAGAAGCCCTCCTGGATGCACCTGACAAATTCTGTCCCATCCAAGCCCCTGGCAACAAGGGACTCCCAGTCAATGTTGCGGAAGTTAAAATAATGCTCTTCAACAACCCTGCTGTTTTTGCATCTTTCCATGACCTGCTTACATATCTATTGCTCTATTTCCTGCTGGCAATAGAGAGACCTATAATATAACCTCATCATAGGATTGCGCCTTTCTTATTCCTGAGTTCTGCCAATGTAGCCTTGTTGGAAGACCCCTCCAACATGTCCTCTTTTAGTGCAGCTGTGATATTCTCCTTAATCAGTAATGAAAATCCCCCACCCCTTTTACATCCCTCTCTATCACACCCGAAATATCCAAACCCTGGAACATTGAACTGCTAATTCTGCCCTTCTCTCAACCAAGTTTCTATAATAGCTACAACATTGTAGTCTCATTGAACTAATCCAGGTTCTAAGCTCATCTACCTTACCTAATAATACTCCTTGCTTTGAAATAAATACACTTCAGAATGCCAGTCCCACTGTGTTCATGAATCTGGCCCTGCCAGTTCTTCCTATTAGACGGACATGACTTAACCTCTTCCTTCTCCTCAATCACACCACAGTGTGTGTGGGGCTACCCCAGTGAGAGTCAGTGTATGTATGGGACCCTATAGCCCAGTGAGAATCAGTGTGTGTGGGACTGTACCCCAGTGAGAGTCAGTGTGTTTGAGTCGGTCCCAGGATGCATCAGAGCTTGTGCAAAGTATGCTGTTTGTAATTTGGCTGCTCTGAAGTTCCTTCTTTGATTCGTCTGGCCAACCTTACCCAACATGCCGGAAAATGAAGTTTCTGTGGACCTCCCAACTTCACCTCAATATCAACATCTCCATCTGTGTCCCTTTGCTTGGTCTGTCCAGTGCTGTGCTTTGAATATGGTCAGAGCATGGCTGATGTTTCTCTCGCTAGCTCACTGAATCGTGTTTAACAATAGCTCAATTTCTGCGCTCTCCTGTTGAGATCATCCAACAGAGAGCTGGGAGCATTGGGCACCTCTTGCTGAGTCACACTTTGATTCTTTAGTAGCCCATGGGGCTCAACGTCAGACTGGGTGATCCTCCCCTGGTCTGTTGGTCTCAGTATTGGAACGGGCAGCTCTCTCCTGACCTTAGCGCTTATTATCAGACTGGGCAATTTGGTACTGATCTGTGGGGCTCAGTACTAGACTGGGAGGTCCTGTAGGGCTCAATATCATACTGGGCGGTTCTCTCGCGGTCTTAGGGGCAGAATGATCTGCTCAGCAGTAGAAATAATGAAACTGAATAGTGTATGTTTATAAAGCTAAGTCTGGAAGGAAGGTTGAAACCCAACTCAGGGACTTGAACTGCCTGCTCTCTCGCTGCTGAATCAGAACAGTTCTTGGTTTCATGGCTAATCTTGAAAAGGGAATGTTGAGACCAATAGAGAATGTCCCTATAAAGTAGCACAGAGTGAGTGAGCCCTGGAGATGGTCTGTGGATCTATATACTGTCAATATGAAATATTCCTTTAAGACTGAGCCGGAGACGATACGGATTTCTGGCACTTCACAGTAGTCAGTATTTAGATGTTTCTAGAAAGGGCAGAAGGCTTTGTCTCTTTCTGCAGCTTTGTGAATATTGCAGGGCTGAATTTTTTTGGCAAGCTGACAATGTGGCAGATGGAGACAGGGTTAGAGAGCTGTGTATAATGGGGAATGTCATGTAATGGAATCCTGTGCTGCAGTGAATTTAAAGGAGATCCGTCTTTAGCAAAGAAATCCTGTGCTGTTCTGCACTAATCATGAACATGGAGGTGTAGCTGATCCCTCTCCCCTCCCCCTCTCTTTCAGGCTGAATCTGTGTGAGAATAGCTGAGCATCAGTACCAGTGCAGTGTAACAAGCCCCTGCACAACTCATCAGGAGAACCCGATCAAGCTGCAGCAGAGATGGAGACGGTGGTTAGCGGAGAGCACAGTCTGTGTGTTGATCAGGATAGGGACAATAAACCAGCACCGGGCCTCCCTGAGGTGAACGAGAATGGAGTCGGGGTAACCGCAGCAACACTGTTTGGGGCAGGAAACCAAGTGACTAAAGGTCAGTGAAGAAAAAGGGGCTTTGTTATAAAATGGGTTCTTTTCATATGGGTGGAAGCAGCAGGGTTAAGCACAAATGGCTCAGGGCGTTGCTGCAGCCAGTGCTGGAATATTCTAGCAAATACTAACATATATGCCAAGGCTGCAGTTTGCTGCAGTTTGTCAGAATGAGCTTTTATGTACAATTGCTCGCAGCTTTGAAATGCTTTTCCTGCAGATTAATGCTGCTAAAGCATCCTCAAACACACGGAACCAATTTACACAGAGCTAATGTCTGTAACCCTTGGTGACCTGCTCTCTGGTTTGAAAAGCTTCAATTGCATCGAGAGAATCCATTCCAGAAAAAACCTTTTGGGTTTCTTGCTCCAGTGCAAGACATCCCCACAATCGACAAAACCGAAGGTGATTCTGCCATGGCTTTGTGCAGCCATTGTGCCCCACCCCAGCTCGTACACTGTGGAGCGAGAAACAGAGAAAAGGTTCTCCATTGCTGTGTGTTACAGACAGTGACAGGCACCTGTCGACCAGTTCAGAATTTAGCTTTTTATCACAAATTAATTATCTCTATTAAAAGGGGGTCCTGTGTCATCTCCCAGACAACGATTGCCTCTTACATCCAGAAGACAACAAGACTTCACATCTGACAGCACAGGAATTGAGTTGGGTTCTGTGTGATCGTGTCATATACGTGATAGCGAGTTGGAAGCCTGTTTTACATCTGTCCCCAACTGGAACTAATGATGAGCCTTAAAGGGGGCTGTCATCTCGTTTATTTATCTTTGTACCTTTGCCCAGAGTCACAACTACCACCGCCTAACTAACAAGATTGTGCAAAGAGCACAAGCACTGGCTTAGAAAATATAGGCAGAATGGCTCGGTTCTGTGCTGTAGTTTCTACATTTGATTTATTTACTGTCACCTTAGAATCCCTACAGTGTGGAAGCAGGCCATTTGGCCCAACAAGGCCACATCGACCCTCCGCAGAGCATACCACCCAGACTCACCCCCTACCCTACTGGCCGCCATGTCACCTGTACTGATACCCTCGCCACTATGAATGGACCTCGCCAATGCAGATACCACCAATGCCACTGGCTACCACACTGGCCCAAACTCAACTCCATCGCCGCCATGAGTCTGCTTCAGGCCTACCTTGTCGATGCAGCCACTGTTGATGCCGCTGGGTCTCATACTGGGCCCAAACTCGCCTCTGCCAACACCTCTTTGAATCTTCACTGGACGCTGACACCACTGGGAACCCAAACAGGCCTCTGCCGCAGCTGTCATCAGTCAGCACTAAGACGGCCTTGACAATGCAGAAATCAGCATAAACCCAAATGCTGCGGCCAGGCCTCCGCCATGCCGCTGAGCCCGCTCACTGCGGCCGGGTTCCCCCGCGCCGCCGGCCCCGCTCACTGCAGCGGTGCCCCCCCAACACAGGCCAGGCCCGCTCACTGCGGCCGCGACCCCCACACAGGCCGGGCCCACTCACTGCGGCCGTGCCCCCCCACACCGGCCGGGCCCACTCACTGCGGCCGCACCCCCGCACAGGCCGGGCCCGCTCACTGCGGCCGCACGCCCGCGCCGCCGGGCCCGCTCACTGCTGCCAGTGCCGTAGACATGACTGAGCTCTTCACCAAGTGGTAAGTAAACTAAAACAGAAGAGAAAAAAGAAACGAGAAGAGGAAAAAAAAAGGAAAAGTGGACAAAGGGACAAGCCCCAGGCTCAGAAGCCCTACTTCACCACCATCTTACTGGATATTACCTGTAACATATTCACCCATCCGGACTGTGTGCACTCAGTGTTTGACTGGACTATCAACACTGTCTATTTGCCCATTGGAAGCATACAATTGAATGTCATGGAGTTTGCAGTCACCAGTCAAGATGTACTCACATATCTCGACAATTTATTCACCCATGGGAACTGCCCATTTATCAGGGATTTACATAAAATTTCATAGAAGCCCAGGAACATACCATTCAACCCAACAGCTCCATGCTTCACCTGAACCTCCTCCCATGCTTTGTCATCAAACTCCCTTCACTACTCAGTATTTAATTCGATCGACGTATCATTTGATGCAGTTTCCCCTTAAAGCTGTGTATGCCTTTTGCCTCACTCTCTTCCTAAGACAGCAAGCTCAACATTCTAGCCATTTGCTGTGTAAAAATATTTCTCCTGAGTTTCTCATTAGATTTATTAGCATCTTGTATTTATAGCCCCTGGTTTTGGTTTTTCCCACAAAAGGAATAATCAGTTCTACATCTAACCTATCGAACTCGTCAAAACTTTATAAGTCTCTGGTTACTTAACAGCTCTAGTGACACTCAAGAGTATGTGACTTCCTTGTTCTCCCTGTCAAAATGCACCAGCTCACACTCTGTTATACTGACGTTTATCTGCCAATTGCATGCCCATTCTGAAAGGTTGTCAATCTTGTCTTGGAAACTTTTGCAGTTCTCCTTAGCATAAATTACTGCCTTAAATTTAGTGTTGATTGCAAATTTTGAAATTGTGGTTCCATTTCTCAAGGCCAGTGAACTGATCTGAAGTTTACTGCAGAATTTCTTCAACTGTTCTGTTAGTTCTTAATTCACTCATGGGATGAGAATGTCAGAACTGCATTTATTGTCCACCCTTAATTACCCTGGAGAAGGTGCTGGTGAGCAGCCTCCATGAATTTCTGCAGTCCTTTTGTTGCAGACATACCACAGTGCTGTTAGAAAGAGAGTTTCAGAATTTTGATTCAGAAGGAACAATGGCATAGTTCCAAGCCAGGATGGTGAGTGACTTGTAGGTGGTGGTTTTCCTATGTGTCAGTTGCCCTTGTCCTTCATGGAGGCACTGGAAACTGCTATCTAGCAGCTTTAGTTAGTTACTACGATGCACCTTGTAATTTGTCCACACTGCTTACTATGGTGTATTTGTTGTGGAGAAAGTGAATGTTTAAGGTGATGTATGGGAAACTTATCAAGTGAGCTGATTTCTCCTGGATGGTGTCAAGCTTCTCAAAAGAGGAATATTCCATCACACTTCTGACTTATGCCTTTTAGATGATAGATAGGTGTTTGGGAAATCAGGAGGCGAATTACTCACTGCAAGATTCCTAGCCTCTGACCTGCTCTTGTACCTACAGTACTGATTATGGCCAGTCCAGTTCAGTTTTTGCTCAATCATAAACCCCAGCATGATAATAGCGAAGTATTCAGCAAAGATGATGTCATTGAATGTCAAGGACAGATAGTTAAATTCCCTCTTGTGGGATACGGTCTTTGACTGGCACTTATATGGTAGAAATGTCAAGTTGTGCAATTTTCAGTGAACATCCCCAATTTTCACCTTATGAGTGGGGCAACGTCAGGATTAAGTAACTGAAGGTGGTTGGGTCTAGGCCACAAACCTGAGGAACTCCTGAAGAGATGTCTTGGAGCTGAAATGATGGACTTCCAATAACCACAGCCATGTCCCTTTGTGCTAGGTGTGATTCCAACCAGTGGAGACTTTTCCCACTAATATCTGTTATCACGACTTCTGCTCAGGCTCTTTGATGTTGCACCTGATCAAAAGCTCCTTAATACCAAGCATTCCAGTATTTGCATTGTAGAAATAATTGTTCTGATCTGATTACTAGTTGAGTTAATGTTACAGTGCTGAATGAATGTCGCAGTGATCATTCTATTGATTTGGATTAGTGCTATAATTTTACAGTAAATTATACCAATCTGGAGTAGTGCTCTAGATTTCATTGTACATCTGGATTAGTGCTTTAGAGTTAATTGTACTGATATGGATTAGCACTCTAGAATTAATTGTATTCATCTGAATTAGCGATCAAGTTAGTTTCATCTGAAAGACCTATTATGAATTTAAAAACTGAGCCAGATGAGTGACACATTTCTCTGGTATTTTCGATGATATTTAGTTTGTGTGAGCACTTAGAAGGCTCTGATGCTTCCAGCATAATGTAACCTTGTACACATATTCACTTTCAGATTCTTCCCCTGTCTCAGATGAGCCTGTTTCAGATGCTTCTGATGTAAAGAGTACACCATCTTCAGAAGGTGAGTGTCTCCCTTTCTCTGCATAACAGCAACAACCGCCTCATAAAATGTGGTTTAAAACTACTGCAAAGTCTAGAAAGTCCTGGGATGAAAACAGAGAATGCTGGAGATTGGGCAGCATCTGTGGAGAGAGAAACAGAGTTAAGGCTTCAGTTGATGAATTTTATTGGGAACTTCTGATTTCTTTTCCCAAAATCAGCACAACTACACTTGCAGTACACCCCAAGTTTACATTCATTCGATTCAACCTCAGCATTTATATCAGTGCATTAATCATCATGTTCAGTATCGATTTCATCTGATGCTAAAATACACCAGATTCTCTGAACTATCAAGTCTAATATTGTTTCAATGTTAACAAGATCAGTTCCAATATGTAACCCATATACCTATGACTTACCACAATTAAGTGGCAGTCTAATCACCTTAAACTCAGCAAAATTATTTGCATTTACTAATAAATAAATTAGCATGTGTAGGGAGGTCTTGTGGTACAAGGGTAGTCTCCCTACTTCCAGACCTGAACCTCTGGGTTAGAGCCTGATGTCAAGACGTGTTGGTCATGGTAGGGTATGCTCATAACATGACCAAGCAGTTTGATCGCCAGCCTGTTAATAATCTTTCCAATACAGGCAGGCAGACAGGCAATAACAGCAGGAGAGTCTCTTAGTCAGCTGTCCCACGAAAGACCACTGCAGCACTTTGCCCATAAATGTGAACCATCCAATGGGAGACCATGGTCCAACCCTCAGAAAATAAGGATGGAAGAAAAGACAGATGGAGCCTAATTAGACATTCACTGTACCCCAGAGTCAGCAAGGGAAACGTCCAATAAACTTTGATCCCTTTACATCCCAATGTTCTTCCTCCGATATAAACCAGTATGTTATTTTATATTCCATTGTACCACAAGACTGCATTGGATAGTATTATAAAGTATTACCGTAGGAGTGGACTAGAGAGATTGTACATACAGAGACAGGCTTACAATGCTGTTATGTAAAGGTACACTGTGTGCGAATAAGGTTGGCAAACTACTAGCAAAAATGTGCATGCGATGTTGATGTGGTGACAAAAACAGAAAAATATCCAAAAATGGTAAGGACTAAATCTTTCATATTCAAGGGTACAACGTGTTCAGAAAAGAGAGGTAAGGAGAAAGGCAATGAGGCAATAGTACTAATTAGGGCAGACACTAGCATTGGAAAGAGAAAATACCATTGAGAGAGGGCAAAGGCAGAAACAAAAACAGAAATTGCTGGAGAAACTCAGCAGGTCTGACAGTATCTGTGGAGAGAAAGCAGAATTAACACTGAGTCCAGTAACCCTTCCTCAGAACTAAGCAGAATCCATCTGGTGAGAGCGGAGAATCAAAAATGATCAAATCACACCATGAGGAGATAGACCTCCAACGACGGATAAGTAAACCATCAGGGAAATGACCAAGATGTAGAAGGATTATAAAGTGATAAAATTATTATTTAATTACCCAAATAATGATTAAGATATTGATAGAATAAAGCATAGTTGGGCCGGGGGTTGAGACAGTAATATATTCAGTATTTCCTTGATGATATGTGCTAAGGAAGGAGTATCTGGCCTGGGAGAATGAAGTGCTTGAAGGGAAGCAAGTTTCTTTGGGAGAACATTTGGGGGAGAGTATTTATTATATGATGTAGTTTTGATTTGTAATGGAGAAGTGCAAGGAACAGACGAAAATAGAGCTTCTAATTTGGAAGATTAATTTTAATAGGATGATGGGGCAGATGGATCCTAGCCAGGGAAAGATTAAATCAAAAGCATGAAAAGAAAACTAATAGATCAATGATTGATTTTTGAGGAGGTGGTGTTCCAGGCACAGGCTGTGTAAATGCCAACAAAGGTCAGGTGACCAAAGGCAAAGCTCTACGAATGATGAGGGAGATTGAGAACATGATGAAACAAAACAAAAGGATGTATGATGGATATCAGGTGAATTCTCCAATCAATAATAACCAGGTCAGAGAGTGTGAGAATAGAATGGCAGTCAACATTAAAGGGAACCCAAAATCTTTCCAGTGTACAGGAAGTCAGCAGATGGTAAGAGGCGAACATAGGGTCTCAGCGATATATATCGTGCCAGGACAAGGCTAGAATACGAAGGCATTGTACTTGGGTCTGTTCCCTCTGTAACTTACTGCTGTTCAGTGCATCCTTTATAACCTTTGGTTCTTGATTGTGGTTCTGGTTTATCCCACTGTTTCTGAGTGAGTCTTTTCCATAAGCTGCTGAACTAACATTGTCTCTGTTATTACAGTTTGTCCAGATTCCATTCATCCTGGTATGTCTTTCTGTTTATTCCACTGCTGCTTACTGTATTCCTTATGTACACTACTCAATAATGTGCCTGGTCTATACTCCACTGTTTCCCAACTATATACCCCTCTATATACCCTGATGTTCCCCAGTATGCTCCTCCCAATATTTTAAAGGTCCCAACTAGTTGCATGCGACATTGCACTGCTACCCAATGAAACTCCTTAAAATTGCATTTTCAAAATTCCAGAGTTCTAACCTTTGATCCTTCACTTGCCATAACATTTCTGCAGGTCCTGATTTGCTCAGTTAAGCCCTCACCTCCACCTCTGATGCTCTAAGAACATGATCAAACTATGAACCTCTCCAAATCTAGCTGTTCCCCTTAGTTTGGGCCTTAGTTCTACTCTTTAAGGAAACTTGAAGGAACGTGACAGAGAAATTGTTGACCATCCACTTCCGCATTTAACTGGACCACTTATATGGCACCGTCGGGTCCTCCTCCCATTTTCTAAAACTGTTCACTGAATTAGGAGCAACTGAAGATAATTCAGTTTTTTCTCTTCCGCTGCAAATCAGCTTTCATTTTTATTCATTTATGAGACATGGGAATAAATGACTGGCCAATAGTTGTCCTTGAGAAGCTGGTGGCATGCTGTCTTCCTGATTGGTGCAGTCCAGATGCTGTAGGTAGATTCACAATGCCCTTAGGGAGGGAATTCCAGGATTTTGACCCAGCGACACCCAGCGAAGGAACGGCGATCTATTTCCAAATCAGGATGGTGAGTGGCTTGAAGGAAAACTTGAAGGTGGTGTTTTCATGTATTTGCTGCCCTTGTCCCTTGAGATGGTAGTTGTTGAGAGTTTGGAAGGTGATGTCCAAAGGAGATTTGGTGAGTTTCTGCAATGCATCTAGTAGATAGTAGCAGCAGTACATACAGAGTGTTGGTGGTGGAGAGAGTGGATGTTTGTGGATGTGGTGCTAATTAAGCTGCTGCCTTATCCTGAATGGTTCATTCTGGCAAGGGGGTGGGGGGGAGGAGGGGTTTGGTATTCCATCACACTCCTGCCTTGTGCCTTGTAGACAGTGGGCAGACTTTGGGGAGTCAGGTGGTGAGTTACTCGCTGTAGTATTCCTCACCTGTGACTTGCTCTTAAAGCCACTTCAGTTTCAGGACATTGATAACTCTCAGGATGTTGATAGTAGGGGATTCAATTAAATGTAAAGGGGCAAAAGCTAATTCTTTCTTATTGGAGATGGTCATTGCCTGGCATTTGTGTGGCGCAAATGTTACTTGCCACTTGTCCAAGGAATGTCATTGATGAAGGAGCTGAAGATGGTTGTATCTAGGACACTACCCTGAGGAATTCCTGCAATGATATCTCCAAACTAAGATGACAGACCTCCCAGAACAATAACCACCTACCTATGTACTAGGTATGACTCCAACTAGCAGAGAGTTTTCCCCTCGATTCCATTTGATTCTAGTTTTACTAGCGTTCCTTGATGCTACACTTGGCAAACGTGGCTTTGATGTGAAGGGCAGTTATACTCACTTCTCTTCTGGAAATCAGCACTTTTGTTAATGAGATAGTAGGAACTGCAGATGCTGGAGAATCTGAGATAACAAGGTGTAGAGCTGGATGAACACAGCAGGCCAAGCAGCATCAGAGGAGCAGGACGGCTGACGTTTCGGGCCTAGACCCTTCTGAAGGAATCTTGGCCTGCTGTGTTCATCCAGCTCTACACCTTGTTATCTCACTTTTGTTAATGTTGAACCAATGCTGTAGTGAGGTCAGGAACCCAAATGGAAAATCCGTGTGCAGCTTATTGCTGAGGTGCCTTTCGATAACAATGTCAATGACCCTTTCCAGAGCTTCACTGATGATGGAGAGGAGACTGATTGGGCAGTAATTGGCTGTTTTGGATTTGTCCAGCTTTTTATATACAGTCCATACCTGGGCAATTTTCCACGTTGTCAGGTAGAAGCCAGTATTGTAGCTGTACTGGAAAAGCCCGACGGGGGAGCAGCAAGTTCTGGAGCACAAGTCTTCAGCAATATGGCTGGAATGTTATCAGGGCCCATAGCCTTTGCAGTATCCAGTGCTTCCATCCATTTCTTGATATCACGTGGATTGAATCAAATTGGCTGAAGACTGGTATATTTGATGCTGGGGACCACTGGAGGAGGCCAAGATGGATAATCCCCTCAGGATTTCTGGCTGAAGATGGTTGCAAATGCTTCAGCCATACCTTTGCACTGATATGCTGGGTTAAGGATAGGAATATTTGTGGGGCCTCCTTCAATGTGTTTAATGTCCACCATCATTCACAATTGGGTGTGGAAGGACTGCAGAGCTTAGATTTGATCTGTTGGTTGTGGGATCATTTAGATCTATGTTAAGCTGTTTGGTACACAAGCAATCCTGTTTGATAGCTTCACCAGGTTGGCACCTCACTTTTAGATATGCCTGGTACTGCTGCTAGCAAGCCCTTCTGCATTCTCCATTGAACCAGGATTGATTCCCTGGCTTGATAATGGTAGAGTGAAGGATCAGGCTATGAGGTTGCAGATTGTGTTGAATAAAATTCTGCTGCAGCTGATGGCCCACAGTAGCTCATGGATGCCCAGTCATGAGTTGTTAGATGGTTCAATGTCTATCCCATTCAGTATAGTTCTCATACCACTGAACATGGAGGCAGAATTATGTCTCCACAGGACTGTGCGGTCGTTACACTTACCGATACTGTCATGGATAGATGCATCTGTAGCCAGCAGATTGGCAAGAATGAGATCAAGTTAGCTTGTCCCTTTTCTTGGTTCC